GCCGGTGTATGACAATGTTGCTTCCTTTCATCACTTTTTTTTCTCTTACTGGTCGACTGGATTATGTAGACCTGACCGTATGAGGAGGAGCACTGAATAACATGGTTAATCTAGATTTAGCTGGATGGTTGGAACTTCACAGATGATCTGGCTCTTCTGTCCCACATGCAATCAACAATGCATGAGAAGATGACTAGTACATCAGTAGCTTCTCTGGCAGTAACGGCCAACAGAGACAATAGCAAAATCATTACTTTCAGATTCAGCACAAGAGGCACAAACCAAATCACATTCTTGAGAACACATTGAGCCAGACCGAGTACTCTCATAGACAATATGTACAGTGTATATACCATTTTCGATTGTTGTTTCGGTTTCCTAACAGAATGTCTTATTGATTTTAGTTTTCCAAAACACCACCGATTACTTACGTTTATTCCGGTATTGATGACAAACAAGACAAGTATCATAGAATTTTGAATTTTGCACAAGATTAGCATGGCGTTTTTTAAATTATTAATGGTTCATTCAAATACATTTCAATGAAGTACAAAAATCTAACACGCACAATATACTGGCGATCTGTCATTTCTGTTTCAGTAAAAGATAAATTGAATTCTTTATGAGTGTCAATATCGCCTTGTTTAGCAGACAGAAGTTTAGGATTTAGCTTGGTACATGTATGGATATTATATGTTGACGAAACTTTCAACGTTCGTTCATTTTATTTTTTTATCATATAAAAATATCAGAATTTTTGAACATGACTAGTGAACACAGAAAGGTTACTCAGTCCTTTCTCTCCTTTGATTTTCACTTATGATTACGCGATACCTACGTATTTATATAAATCTGAAAAAATGTTAACTCTTTCTGATGCATTTCTGAAGTTGCTGCCGGTCTTAATCCTGGAAAAGCGAGAAGGATCAATAAAACGGTTACAGTCACCAGCCCGTAGAAATCCGACGCTCTATTTAGTGGCCCACGCTCCACTGACGGTAACATTCTTCCTTAAGTAAGTAAGTAAATATAAATATATTTATTGTGACAGGTTCACATAGTAAACATTGAACTTTATAATTTCCGTCGATATTTTCCGTTCAGTTAAATTTTGGTTTTGAAAAACAAACTTATTTACATTTAACTTTAATTAATTTCAATGTATAAAAATGATTTGAACACGCAGGTTTTTGAAAATGTTTTTATTAATAATTTAAAAAAATTACTTGAAACTTAAATAAAACCAAAAAGTTTTGTATTCAATTGATTTCTGAAGTGTATTGTCACCACCAATATTTGTGATTATTCAATCAATGAGTATTCCAAAAGCTGTCAAGAAATAAGTAAAAATATGATGAGATATGAGTTAAATTTGATCATCGATTGTTCAAAATAAGCCAGTCAATGTTCAGTTGACTAACTGGTACAGCTGTTTAGCATCTAATGGTTGTAAACTTATCAGTAAGACCTAGTTCGATTCTACGCAGACAGGTTAGTTTTACGAGCAAAAAAACACATTGAACCAACATAATTGCACAAGTATAGTTCATTCTCTATGAGATTAGATGATACGCCTTTCACTTTTTGAAGCGGTAATTCTTCAAGCAAACAAACTTGTGGCGGATAAGAAATTCATTGCGAAAACACCCAACTTCGTGACACGACGAGATAAACCTTGACCTGAAATCGTTATTACCAAAGGAAAAAAGATTAGGTAAGAAGAACACTGAGCCTAGAATTAGTGGCACACGTAAGGAGAATGTGCAGCATGTGGCTAGAATTGGAAGGGAAGGTTGAAGACCGAGAATGTTGGAGAGTGCTGATCGATTGCCCATGCTGCACTAAACGTAACGTGAGTTTGTAAGTGCGTATATGCTCATCAAATCAATG